TACTCTCAAACTAAAGGACTCACAGCCATAAAGCAGAACTGAACGAACGGTGGCACTATATACACGACCTTTCAACTTCAGTGAAACGTCGCGTCTACGTCAAAGGTGTTTCAGTCTTGCGTATGCTGCTCGAGCCTTGGAAATGCGCGAGGTTATCTCTTTTGCTGCACTACCGTCATTGGTCACGAAACCACCAAGCAGAAAAAGTAATCCACTATCCTTAATTCTTGACCATTTGGTTTCAGAGATGGAGTAAGCGAAACCCAGTCCTGTAGCATCACTTTGCACATACCGAAAGTGGCAACGGCACTTGTTAGTCTATCAAGCGCAATTTGCGCGTCCTGCTTACATTCGACCAGACAGACGATGTCATCGCACAGTTTTTCTATAGCTGCCAATTCAATACCTACATTTTGGAGTCCACTTAGTGCGTTCTCCAGTATATCGTCTACGACAAAATTGAACAAGAACGGCAAAAGAGGACACCCTTGATGAACGCCGATGCTGGTGACGAACGGCCTAGTTAGTTTATTTCAAACTCTCACTCGACCAGAGGTATGTGAGTAGAGTGATTTCAGTGAGTTAACGTACTTCTGGAGAATTCCTTTTTGAAGAAGGGAACTCTTCAGAGCTGCGCGGTCAACTGAGTCAAAGGCTCCTTTCAGGTCAAGGAACACTGCTATTCTTGATCTACGGTAGGCGTGACGGAGCTCAAGGACCTGACGCAACGTAAAAATTCGATCAATATATACACGGGCAGGCCAGAATCCGGCCTACTGATCACGGATGTTGACCTCTCTTAAAGGAGCCAGACACCGAAATATGACGGAGGCTATGACTTTGGTGACGATCGGGATCAAACTAATCCCGCGGTGGTTTTCGCAATGGTTGCGAGATCCTTTCTTGAAAATGGGAACGATCAGTGATTCGTCCCAAGATGAAGGAACGCGCTCTCTCGCCCAAATATTGCGCAGTACGGTAATCACTCCCCATCTTGAAGAGAGTAGGAGGGAGCTCATACGGTCCTGCTGCATTTCCTCACTGCATAACTTGAATGCTCAGTTCATCTCAGTTTTTACCACCATTAACCATGCACTTTCTTGCGCCGGTTTTCGTTGCTGTCTTTTGGCCGTCCATTTGGATAAAACAGAAGGATGAAGATTGGAATGTTGAAAGCGGAAGATAGAGAATTCACTCAGAGTGGTGTTAGGAGAATCATGAGTATATGCATGAGCGCCACTGTTTGCGACACCCAGCCATATCGCTCAGTGTCTCTAACCATCGGTGATCATGATCTCGGGGAGCCTAACGAGAACTATGTGAGCCAGTCTCCTGGTCACGGTTTTCATACCCTCATGCCGCGTCTTAGCTTGACCGCCCTTGACCTTTTGCCAACCGCCACCTGCTTTGGCAAACATTGCTCGCCGTGGCAACCTATCTGGTGACATGCGTAGCACATGTCCCAACCAGCGTAATATATGGAGGTTGACTTCCTGTTCCAGTGGACGACCGCGATTACCTAAAACTCTACGCCTAACCTCAGCATTGCTCGTCCGGTTTCCCCACCAGACTCGTGCAATGCAACACAGACAGCGGTGTTCGAACACCGACAGTCTATTT